CCGGCTCATAAAGTTTATTGAAATTAAAAATATGATTCTTTTATTGTTTCATATTCATTTTATATTACGATGATGATGCTTTTTCAAATGGTAAAATCATTCCACTGATCATACAGTGAATAAAAACAAAATTGGATTTAAAAACAGTATGTATTAATAGGTTGTTAATTTTCGAGACACGAATTGATTTCAATTTATATTTGGTCAAGCTAATTTTGTAAAGTTTGATAGAAAATATTGTTTTCCATCTCAATTTGTTTTGAATGAACTTTCAATTTTATTTGTCATATCTTGTAAGAAATGGACACCGAAAAGAAAGTTCGAAGATTCACAAGTAATGAAGATGCTGTGATAACATCAATATTCAATCTCCACTTGATGATAAAGGAGTTGACTTCTGCGTTGATTCACTCTTTAATATTTTCTTAGGAATTCATTCTAAACGCGCGATAAAAGATAGATGGAGTAATTTCTTATCAATGGACAGCGCAGAGTTTACTGATGAAGATGACAAACTAATACAATCACTACACAAAAACTTAGGAAACAAGTGGTCGAAGATTTCGAAATATTTCAAAAACAAAAGTCCAACACAAGTCAGGATCAGATACTACCAAATGCAACGGAAAGAAAACAGGATCAGACAAAGCGAGGAAACCCGAAATACTGATTCCAATTTCTTTTTTAATAATGAAATTTCAGATTTTGAATTCATAAATTCGAGAGGTTATCGATTTTGTAATTTAATCGTCGTCGTTATCGATTTTGTAATTTAATCGTTATCGTCTTTTTCTAAACGTGCATTTTTACATTAAAAGCAATGCAACTCCAAAATTAATTGGTATTTAGACTTTAATTAGGTGCAGACAAACGAAATGCAGTCCAAATATTTTGGTGATATATGAATTACATAAATTTAGGGAAATTGAAATTATATCTTTTTAAATTTTTAGGAAAACAGATTTATAGAATTGTTTAAGTCATCAAAATAATGCAGACTTAGGTCAAATTTTCCAAATTTAATCATTTGCAAGACTTTCAAGCGACTTCAAAATGTCGAAATATAAGTCCAAAAATAAAATTACGATTACAGTCTATCCTCAATTATTATCACGCTAATTATTGAGTGACCCATGCGTTCGTATGTATGTAATACCTTTTAAAAAGGAGATGAGAGAGATAAACTACATTTACAATTTAAATCTGATGTATTTACTTGTTACATTTACAAATGTAAATGTTTCTCGTAATGTTTACATTTTGTAAGTATAACGAATAAAAATGACGCACTTTTTTTACAAAGTCAAATTATGCGATACAACTTTACTTGTTACATTTACAAATGTAAATGTTTCTCGTAATGTTTACATTTTGTAAGTATAACGAATAAAAATGACGCACTTTTTTTACAAAGTCAAATTATGCGATACAACTTTACTTGTTACATTTACAAATGTAAATGTTTCTCGTAATGTTTACATTTTGTAAGTATAACGAATAAAAATGACGCACTTTTTTTACAAAGTCAAATTATTGTTCGATTTTTGCAGCTTGTAAACGATTAATTGTATAAAGCAATTGATATTAGCACGATATAACTGAATAATTCTAATATTGAAATCAAAAGCCCTTAAAATATCATGATATTTTAATTTCATAACAAATCTAGGAGACTATTTGATGAAAACATATCCGATGTGGGTTTTGTTGTATTATATAACTTGTTATTGACTTCTTAGCTTTCCAAATTTTTTTCGATAATGAGAAAACGAATGAAAAATCAACATTTGGTCCATTTAAAATTTGATTTGTTTACATTTTTTTACTTTTTGAATTTCAATTTATATTTTCCTCAAGAAATACTTTAGATTTTAAGAAACTAAATCATATAATCTACTAAGAAAATATATTAAATCCTATAATACTCAAAGTTTTGTGATAAATCAGATCTTTTTTATTTTACTTTTATTATGTTTTTGCAAACTTAAGGTCCTCACTAGGTAAAACATAATACTCTTTGAAGTTAAGTATTTTCACAAAGAGAGGACCAACAATATCAAAAGATTGAATAAAGATTTGTATTATTTTATTTATTTTTAAGAACATGTTTAAGAACCCTCATTATCTCCACGAATATTGCATATTTTTCTATTCTAAGACCACCAAAATTACGTTTTAATATAGAAAATAACATATTTATGTGATGCTAAAGTCGAAGTCCTTAAAAAATTAGTGTTAAACATCCTATTGTTAAATAAATTTTTTAAAAACCTTAATAGGATAAAAAAAAAGAATTTACACTCTCTCACTTTGAAAACGTAGAAAATGCCAATCTATTGGTATACATTTTAGTTTTGTTAAGTTTACAAAACGATTACTCTAGATTTTAAAGATTTATCAAGAATTTAGAGAATATCCTTCTCAAAACAACTTCAATAGCGAAGGATTAGTATTAAATCGGATTTGTAACATAATTATAGTACATTACAATACAATTTCTCCGACTTTTAAATATTTTTGAAATATTTACAAAATATGCTCTTTCTATCATCGATACTTTAATACAGAGCAAATTTAGTAAATGTCATCACGTTATTTTTTCATAAATCGTTTTCGAACTTTTGAAATATTTATTTTAAACCAGTTTTCTACATTTAATATGTGAATTATATCAAAAGTAGATGGGCGATACTTGTAAATCTATTTAAACTATTAGTTTGCTATTATTGAAGAACTTTATAATTTTTTTTTCTTATGTATGGAATTAAAGATAATTTTGCCGATTCCAACTGGTTTTTCTATATGAGTTAAATATGCCAAGTGAAATCGGACTTGCCAATATTGTAAATTGAAGTATGGACTATATATCGATTTTCATTGATTGATGAATAACTCGGAGTAATGTAATTGTTGATAATGAAAAATAGTTTTCAATTGCTGGTAAGGGCCAATGTATGTTCAATAGCTCCGAAAGCAAAAAATGCACGTTTAGAAAAAGACGATAACGATTAAATTACAAAATCGATAACGACGACGATTAAATTACAAAATCAATAATGACCCCATAAATTCGGATTTTTTCGAATGAAGAGTAATTTCTTTATTACATAATAAAATCATTATATATTTTATTAGGCAATAATACTGTAAATTAGAAATAGAATTAATTTGTAGTTTAAGCAAAATTTCAAACTTCAGCTTAAAAATATCAACGAAATAATGGAATATAATCGAAAATATATACTAAATAAATTATTTTACAATGATATATTTATTGAAACATGATTTTTATGAAATGAATTTATCTTAAAAAAAATACTAATCGAGGCATTCAGAATTGTGTATCTTGTATTGTACAAACTATTTTTATCTTCTTATTCTCCAGCAAATTATTCCTACTCACTTTCAAAATTGTAACTCAATATAATTCTTACAATAATCCCATAGTTTTTTAACTATTCATACGGGTGCACCAGAATTATTTGTTTGCAATTTTCAATATAATTTTTTGGATTTTTATAAACTGTGAACTCCTTGTTCTTGATAGACCATACATTGAAATTGCACTATTAATTTATATTAATAATTTTTTACAAATTTGTTTTGAAAAGGTCCATTTTGTTCAAAAAACCATGAATCATTAATTTTCTTATGTTAAAAATAATTGTCAAATAAGTAAAAATGTCCTCAATAACTTGAAATTGAAATGAAAAATAAATTTCAGTATTTAAGTTCATCAAGTGGAGTACAATGTATACCTTCGATCATTTCTTATATTTTGATGTAAAGGTATCATTGTTCCTAGGTATGCAATAAATAATGATAGTTAAAATTACAGTTATAAAACGACTTTCAACAGACAAAAATCCTCAATGTAAAGACTTAAAACTAACAAGAAGTTAGATATTTTCTCAGAAGATATTAGTACTAATAAACATGATTCTAAGATATTACCTGTAATTAAGCATCATTGGAGATCTTGGGATTAAGTTTAAATACAAGTTTAACATGCTATCATGAAAATTGCCTCTTCAAGCTACAACTTCGCTATAATCACTGATTTCTTAAAGATATATGTGAAATATATCTCAAACTCATTAAGTACAGAAGCCTAATGAGTCAGTTCACAGATAACATTTCCACGTTAGTTGTATTAGAACTATTTATCCAAAGTGCACAAAGCACTTTTGACTGAAATTCTTTAAATCGGTCTAAGTCAAACATGCCCACATTTAGAAACACCTCAATTCATCTGTAGAACTTGACATACATTGAAAGGTAAATCATGTTTAATGTATTTCTTTTTTAATATAAATTAACTCATTTGAATGCATCACTTTATAAAAATGAGGATTTTTAGACATCATTCATATTTTCTGACAAATAAGGTAGTTCAACAAAATGATGCTTTGATGATTTTGGTAATGGATTTAGACTATCCAGATATATTAAAAAATTTCATCGAATATCGTCTTATCGTAAATTATTGTATTCCTGATCGGAAATTTTCATCGATTTATATTTGTCATTCATTCAATTATGTCAAAATTTGGCAAATTAAGGTTTTCCAATGAAATAATCATAACAATACATAATAAATATAATTGACTTATTTCTGGATTTTTCGAAAATTGAAGGGAAATTTAGACGGATAGTTGATAAAGCATTGAATTTTTAAAAAATGCTGGAGAATATAGTTACCGGCTCATAAAGTTTATTGAAATTAAAAATATGATTCTTTTATTGTTTCATATTCATTTTATATTACGATGATGATGCTTTTTCAAATGGTAAAATCATTCCACTGATCATACAGTGAATAAAAACAAAATTGGATTTAAAAACAGTATGTATTAATAGGTTGTTAATTTTCGAGACACGAATTGATTTCAATTTATATTTGGTCAAGCTAATTTTGTAAAGTTTGATAGAAAATATTGTTTTCCATCTCAATTTGTTTTGAATGAACTTTCAATTTTATTTGTCATATCTTGTAAGAAATGGACACCGAAAAGAAAGTTCGAAGATTCACAAGTAATGAAGATGCTGTGATAACATCAATATTCAATCTCCACTTGGATGATAAAGGAGTTGACTTCTGCGTTGATTCACTCTTTAATATTTTCTTAGGAATTCATTCTAAACGCGCGATAAAAGATAGATGGAGTAATTTCTTATCAATGGACAGCGCAGAGTTTACTGATGAAGATGACAAACTAATACAATCACTACACAAAAACTTAGGAAACAAGTGGTCGAAGATTTCGAAATATTTCAAAAACAAAAGTCCAACACAAGTCAGGATCAGATACTACCAAATGCAACGGAAAGAAAACAGGATCAGACAAAGCGAGGAAACCCGAAATACTGATTCCAATTTCTTTTTTAATAATGAAATTTCAGATTTTGAATTTTTTAATTTTGAACAAGGAACAATTTGTTAACCATAATTATATTAAAATGATATTTGATTCTTCGGTTTTCATGATTTGCAAATTTTGAGAATGAGTAGGAATTCTTTGCTGGAGAATAGGAAGGCAAAAACAATCATTATTCAAAAATATATTGAACATAGTATAGGGTCAGTAGTTGAGTTTTTTAAAGACTCGAAATTCAATAAATTTATATAAAATTATCATTGAAAAATAAATTCATCATCAATAAAATATTTATTCATTATTGTGTAGTTCAGATATTTAGATATTTTCTTTTTGAATAGTGTATAATTTTTTGATCAAATTCGTTTCGATAGCTATTTATTAGTAGGACACATAGCCGTTTTATTCATATTTTTAAAGAAGAAATAATGAATAACTATCTCTCAAATCCTCTAAGAATTTCGCTCTTTTTATGAAGAAAATACAAACCAATGAATAAAGTTTGAAGTTTCTGATTAATGAAGGGAAGTATCTCCAAAAAGGGAAAGTCTTTATTATTTTTTCATATCCAATTCAATTTTGCAACTCCTCATATATCTAAAACAGCATCTATCAATGAATTCTAATGGATAGAGTTGTCAAATAAAATTATCTTAGAATCTAAATATCTTTCTATTCCATTGTTGAAGTCTGAATCAAACAATAAGTTTGGCTGAAATGAAATTAATTATGATATTTTGCTCTAATCCTTGACTAATATCTCATTATTATTTAAAATTGAATAATTATTATTAATTCATAAGAAAAGAAAATTTTCTTAGATAATTGAACATAATTGTAAAAGTGAATAATTTTCCCCAATTTAAAAAAAAAAAAAAAAAAAAAGGTAGTGGGGCCTCCAGGCACTTCGTGCCCTCTAGCCCTGAAGATGTTTAGTATAGCTTTGTCCGGACAAGTAAGGGTCTAACGTCGCTACAGGAAAAGTTACGGGCGTTCCAAGGAAGTATACTTTGAGAAGACTTTCCCCCTTATAGAATGAGATAGGACGGTTATTTTACAAAACTGACAACACTTTGACCGAGTAGTTTTTTGTGCTGAACAAAAGTGTCATATAAACATCTGTCAAAAACCGCTTTTTAACTTCACTTAAAATGCCACGTAAGCTACGTAAGAATATACGTAAGAGGAAGAGAGCATTGAAACATCCAATAGTAAAACTGACACCACAACAACAGTTGCAACAACAAATAATGAATGACCCCACTATGTTGCAACAAATGTCAAGCAATCCTATGCTTTTAAACCGAGTTTTTGGTGCACAGAGTGGAGGTTTAAGAGCGGCACTTTTAGCGAAAATGGCAGGCTATGGTGGAGCTGCAGACGGAACAGCCTATAACCCTCAAAGTCAAATGAATTTGAGTTCACTCAAAAATCAAATATCAGATGTCAAAAAGTCAAACATAGACATACAGAAGCAAATAAGTGAAAACGAAAAGAAACTAGAATATGACAGACACACAAAGAAACTCAATGAGTTAAACGTAGAGAAAAAGAAGAAAGAAGAACAACTGAAAGAACTAAGTACAGAGGAATATGCAAAAAAAGTGTCAGAAAAAGCAGAAGAAGTAGCAAAAATGGAACAAGATGTTATAAATTTGAAAAACCATGAAAAACCATACTACTATAAAGTACTGAAAGATGAAGAGATAAAACAAAAAGCCCTGAAGACATATATGGATAGCGATGAGTATAAAAAAGAAGTTGAAGCAAATGTAAAGGCAGAAAAACTTTTACAGTTGCAAAACCAAACCGTACAGTATGAAAACTTAGCACAAGAAAGTAAAAATAACGACGCAGCCATGCAAAAGGCAATAAAAAGCGCAGAATATATAAAAGCTAACAATGACTGGTTAGATACCCAAGCCAACGCCAAAGCAGCCCAACTTATAGGGTCAATAAGGACAAAAATACAAGCGGATGAAGACAGTTCAAATGAAGCTTTAATGAATGCTGACTTTAAGAACGCCTTCGAAGCTCTTCATAGTAAGGTGAAACTAGTGAACGACTTCTCATCTGGAAAGAAACTGAAGTCTGAAGGTTTCGACAAAGAGTTAAAAGAAGTAGCACAAAATATGACGAAAATAACAGATGCAGCAACGAGACAGGCAGTTCAAAGTGCCTATGACGCCGTTAGAGCAACTGTTGTGGAAAGTCAAGAAAAAGAGTTACAACAGACCAAAACAGACCTAGTAAATGCTTTCTTAAAAACGAAAAGTCAGGTAGGACACTATGCTGCAGATGGAACATATATACCAGCTGGTGGAACTTATATACCAGCTGGTGGAACTTATATACTAGCTAGTGGAACCTATATACCACCAAACCCTCCAAGAGAAGCACCTGCACCAGGACTACCTAAAACATTTACATCGTCACATGGACACAGACACAGGCATGCACCAAAACCAACACAACAACCAACAGTTCAAAATCCAGCACCACAACAACAACCAAAACCAACAGTTCAAAACCCTGCACAACAACCAACAGTTCAAAACCCTGCACAGCAACAACAACCAACACAGCAACCAACAGTTCAAAATCCAGCACAACAACAACAACAAACAGAGCAAGGACATAAAAGAAGTAGAGAACAAGGAAACCAAGATTTCTTAAAAATGCTTAAAGAAGACTATGGTTACCCAGATACTCTTGACTTTAGTGACAGATATAAAGAAGCTATTAGAAAGTTCAAGGAAGGAAATACTGACCCGAACCTATTTAGCTTTATGGCTCAGCACCAAATGGGATATAATTTCAAACCTGGAAAATACAAGCTCGCTAAGGGATATGATTTAATAGCATATCATCCAAATGACATGAACGAATTTACTCCGAGATATTTGGTGTCAGAGCTAAATGACAATTCAACTCTCTTCATGAAACGCGTAAAAAATAGAGACGGAACGAAAGAAGAAAGGTTTATGAGTCCGGATGACTTAGATAGGGAACTTTTTAAAAACGGTCTCGGAATATATGAAATGCCACCAGATGAGGTACAAGAAACTCAACAGGAAGAAGTTCAGATACAACCAGACATGGAAGAAATAGTTCAGCAACAACAGCTAGAAGAGCCTGAAGGAAACGAACAAGTTCCTCCTTTGGAAACTAACTTCACAGAACTAGATGAAGATTTGGAACAGCCGAAAAATCTTGACCCTCAACAAGACTATGAGGTGAATATGGAATCTTTCCAAGAGTCTAAGAAAAATTCGGCTGACAGAGTAGAAGAATATCGAAAAATGTTCACCGACATACAAAAGACTCCAACATCAGATGAAAATATTCAGCATAGAATGGAAGTACTGAAAGAAAATGTACGCAAATACAATAACCCTTTTTACTTACGACCATATAACGTTCAATCTTTGGCTGAACTCGGTGAAAATAAAAGGTTAAATTTCAACAAAACATATAGAAATGAAACATTGTTTAAAGTTCATTCAGAACCTAGCCAATATGGAAACAAACCTACTTTTGTTTCTGCAGACTATGGAACTACAATGAGATGGGGTCATAAAGCTAACCCGGATAGGGTGGTTCATAAACTTACAACCACAATTCCAAGAAGTTGTAGACGCAATGGAAGTCAATGGTGAACCAGATATAGCTGGTATTTTCAGCGCGGCTTTAATGCCATTGAAAGATATGAAACATGCAGATATTTTGGACCAGTATGAAATGAACATGGCTGATGGAAATATAACACCTGACGTTCTAGAACATTTATCTCAAAGAACTACACAGAACCATAAAGATGGTATATTTGGTGAAGAGTTTAGAAAGAAAGTTAGGGATAGAGAAGGAAGAGAACCTATTGTACATGACCTTGCAAACGAAAGTTTACAAAATGTCAAAAAACTTACTTTGCAGACAATGAACCGAGAAGGATGAATATTTAAGAAAACTCAAATGGACAGTACCAAATGAAATGTTAGTATTGAAAAACATGTTCCTTGACAAAATAAAACCAACTACAGAAATAAATGACGCAAGCCTGAAACGTTGGGTAAAAGCTTTCCCATTCACAAAAGATATTATTGGTAACATGGAAAGAAAACCAGAATGGCTACAAAAACATATATTTGGAAACGAGCTTATTCCATATGGACAAGCTATATTTGAAGAGCTTGAACCGGAAACTCAGGAAAGAGTCATGCAAACAATACGCGAAGACTCAAATACAAACTATGACAAAATCTTTCTAGGATATAGGTTACCTGAGATGGGCGACCAGAGCCCAAAGGCAAAAAGGACATGGGAAATTTACAACATACTAGGTGAACATGAGGCAAAGATGCAACAACTTGAAGCAGAGGGCAAGTTACCAAAAGCGACACCAAAGAAGAAGAAGAAGAGTAGAACAAAGTGAAAGTAGTGAAGAAGTAACTTCATCTAGTGAAAGTAGTGGCAATGAAGGAAAAAGAAGAGTTAAAAACTCAGTCAGGAAGAAAGTAAAGCTTGGTCCGAAACAATTATGATATATAAATCCAACTATTCTATATTTTTACCCATATGAAATGTACGCCGCTCAGAATATAACGCCAACAGTTTTGGATGCCATGAACGGAAATGTTTCCGAATGGTATAACGAATGCGACAATGCCATTAGAAGGTCAGAAATAGTTCCTGGAACTTACGAATATACAACTGCTGTTTCTTATGGAAACGTAGGTGAGTTTGGAGAAGGTTCTTCAACAACAGTAGATATTGCTTGCGACAGGTTTCATATTATTTCTATTGACAACTCATTCTTATACGTGGAACAAGACATTGAAATAAAACCTTCTGCCAAGTTGTCTGACAAGAAAGGTTGCAATGGAATTTTCTATGTCGGATACCAATATGCTCCAGAAGTTTTCATGGGATATAAGATATATTCTAACTCTGACTTAGTTCAAACAGTAACATGGCAAACTATGAATGGTTCGCTTTGAGAAACTCAGTACAACCACAAGCTAGAGAACAAACAGACCAGTATGCCACCATTGAGAAAATAAGAAGACTTGACCCTAACGTTCCAGGAGTTTATGTTGACCTTTCTGGACAAACTGCAGCAGCAGTAACCAAAGTAAAACTGAAACTTAGAGTTCCTTTGTCATCTTTCCTCATCTTCAGGTTTTTAAGATACTTGCCAAACTGGGCAGGAAAAATTTCTATCGAACTTACTCCAAGCAAAAATAACTTAGTCATTGCACCAACGCAAGACCCATTCACTCTTACAGACGTAAAGGGAGCAAATCAAACGTCATTCGCCGAATTTTGCAAAGACAAAGTTGACTTAGACTTTGGTTTCTCAAACCTCAACACTGAAGTAAACTATTATTTCAATGCTGCTGGAACTGCTTGGGACCCAGTTAAGTTCACATGCGAAAAATTTGAATGCAAGAGAATAGAAAGCAGACTTGCAGTCTATATGTTGGACCCAGATATTTCAAATGCTTTAGCTGCCAAATATATTGCAGTTCCACTTATGTTCCCTATACACCAAATATCTGTCAAAGACTTTGCAGGTGAAGTTGGAAACCAAAGTGCTGACCCAGGTGCAAGAACAGATATTGCTTTAACAACTGCAATGAAACATGCAGATACTATGTTTGTACTGTTCAGACGAACTATAAATGACTATTCTTGTTTCTACAACCCCGGTATTAAATATCATATAAACATAGATGGCAAATATTATCCAAGAGAAGAATATTCTACAGTTGAGGATATGAGGTCATACAACTTGACATTAGATGCTATGAACTTTAACAACAACTTCACAACAACCATTAACCCTGAAATGCAAAGTTCTATTATGCCATATGTGAAAGTATGGACTCATACAGGAGGTCAAAAAACTCAATATACAAATGGAGACCGTTCAAACTTTTGGCTTGGCATTCCATTTGCTGACTCAGAAGACTTTATGGTGGTATATCAACTGTTGGTACAGTTCAAATACAATATACTGGTGACAGAGACGGTCCAGATGAATTGAAAGCAAAGAAGTTTACAAAACCAATAGCACTTTTCACGGAAGATGCTCTTTTGAAGATTCGTTCGATGAAACCTGCTGGAGCTCCTCAGATTGGCATAACGACAGCTTCCATCGAGCAGATTTTGGCAGCAGGTCAGTAAGTTGTTCTTGAACTGACTTCTCTCCATCAAATATTGACAGTACGCCAGTTTTGACATAATATTGTATTATAAACTTTCCTTTAGAAATATCGGTCAGTTTTGTTGTTATATTTTTGTCTGCTTCAAGAACTTTCACCATTTCGGTTATACCAACTTTCTTTGCTTTATGAAAATATTTTGGTTCAGCAAAGACTGCTATTCTATAACATTTTCCATTGTTTGTATAAAGAACTATTCTGTCGATGTATTTGTATTGTTTGTGTGTGTAAACTTTGTTCTGCTTCAATTCGAAGAGATACTCAAATACGTCCATCTTTTTATTCTAAGTAAAATGTCATTTCCGAAAAATAGAAGCGTAAGTGTTTCAAAAGGTTTAATGGCGGTGGCAGATGTGAAGTTAAATTCACCAACTCAAACAAACAGTCAAAGTGTTATTGTCAATGTCAAAGACAGAGATGTTGAAGTGGGGAAACCATACGAAGACGAAGATGGTATAACAATAGTTCCTGTAAAAGAACAACCAACATACCCTGAAGTTAGCAGAGACTTAAGTTCTGTTGCAGATATTCGAAACGACTACCAACAACTGAAAGACAAACTTCAAACTCAGGAGAAGATTTGTCAAGCTTTAGGTATAATGTTAAACTTGGTCGAACACAACCCTGTAAAAGTGAACTCATATGTCATTGCACCTCATGAAGTTTTGAAAGAACTATTGAAACTTTTGACAGAGGCAGACGATATAAACATCAAAGAAATAGAACCCGACGTTAGTTGCTGTGGTGTTTCATATAATGTCATTGACAAGATATACGTTATGAAAGGAAGTGAAACGTTGAACTTAAAATATAGTTTCCCAGACGTTATAAAAATATTTGACGACCACAACATTTCATTAAAGTTTATTTGCTAAGTAAAAATGTCAAAACTTCTTGAAAGATGTTTGAAGAAAAATAATATAGACTTTATTTCATGTAAAGGACTTTACACACTTTTGAACGATATGAAAGACCCTGTTTGTTTGTTCGTGTAGACAAAGGAAAGTTCTATGTCTTTACAAAATATTTGAACTTCTTAGACAGAGAACTTCAAGAAACGCCATGTGAAAGTTTAGATGAAGTTCTTCTCCACTTTCAGAAAAACTTTTAAATATATGTAAATGGCAGAAGACATAGTGGTTTATACTATTACGACTAAAAACCCTGAGTCATATAATTCTATAACAACAAACTTACAAAGTCCTCAAGGACGATATTGTAAACTAACTTTAAACACAATGACGACTAAAGCCTGTTTTGCTCTTTTGACACCAGAAGATTTTATTGTTGTGAATGGTAAAAAATACTCCTTTGAAGATACTTACTCAGATATACCACCAACAGGTTTTGTTGACTTATTTAATACTTTAAGTACGGGTGTAACATGTGCTGCAACTAGAGCAGGTTTCATTATGTTTGGATGTCCGACTGAGTTTACTATAAACAATATGAGCTATAATACAAAACTTATATCTGGTTTTTACTACCAACAGTTTCCTATAACAGGAAAAGTGTCATACAAGGAATGTCTGTTCCATTGACTTTAAGTACACCTATTTTATATATTGTTTCAAACTTAGGTTCAAAGTGTTATTCGAATGTCGACAGAAACTACTATGACCAAAAGATACTTATGCGTATAAATAACACATTCTCTGCTGGTTTGCCTATTGTTCATTCGAATGCAGAGTTTTCAGCTTTAGTAAACTCAAACACTTTAGCAAACATAAACTTAACCTTAGTTGACGCAAACTTTGTTCCTGTAAAACTTTTATGTCCTATGTATTTGTCAATGACGGCAGAAAGTTTCGAATTGGAAGATGCAACTGGTGAAAGTATTGTATTACAAGAACAACTTCAACAACAAATAGCTCAAGAACAACAAATGCAACAAATAGCTCAAGAACAACAAATAGCTCAAGAATAAAAAAAATATTTTTTTTTATTTTTATAAAAATGTACAGAATAGATGTTTCAGATTTTTATGACTTCCAAACATTCAGAAATATGTGTCCATTTCGAGACTATAACAAAGCAGTCGAGAATTTGAAACGTTTAGTCATTTATGTCGACTCTGCCCCAGAATGTTATGTTATGAAAGAATGGGATGTAGTCTTTAACAAACCTAAAGCGACAATAGTTTCAGAACAAGAATGTAAACAGAAACTTAAGAAAATAAAAGTCGTACAAGTTGGCATGAAGATGTTAGATGCTTGGGATATCTTATTGTCAAAGTTAGAAGATTTTTCAGTTCGTGGTATAAATTTATACACCTTCTCCAAACTTCTATTCTATCTTCACTGGATATAAATACGAACAAGTAGAATGGAAAGAAAATGTTATAGAAGCTTGGTTAGACCATGTCAAAGAAATTATATGCAATGGAAACGAAAGAGTCTATGAGTATATCTTATGTTGGTTTGCAAACATCTTACAACATCCAAGTGCTAAAAATGAAACTGCTCTCATTATAATTGGAAAACAAGGAACAGGTAAGAACACTTTCTTTACAGATATCTTATGCAAACTGTTAGAGGGCTATTCGAATCCGAATATGACAAACTTAGAAAACATCTGCGTAAATTTAACTCTTCAATAGAGAATATGAAACTTATAGTATGTAACGAACTTCAAAGTATAGATACAACAAAAGTTTTGAACTCAGATGCTTTGAAGAGTCTTATAACAGACAAAGTTGGAGTTGTTGAAAGAAAATATAAAGACCAAAGAGTTTGTGAAAATGTTGCAAATTTCATTATGGTTTCAAACAATGCTGTTCCGATGAAGTTAGAAAGTTCCGACAGAAGATATGTAGTTGTCAGAACGTCAGATTCTCATATGCAAGATACAGAATATTTTGACGACTTAGCAGAAACTTTGACATCTGACTTTTACAACCACTTGTTCTCATATTTTATGACATTAGATATTTCAAAGTTCAATCCAAGACAAATTCCACATACCGAAGAGAGACAAACATTGTTAGAAGCAAACAAGAGTGTATATGAACTGTTCATAGATGAAACTGACTTTGAGTGTTTAGATGAAAGGTCATTGTACGATTCGTAAAACAGTATTGTCAAGAATATGGTTATATGACAGCGTCTAAACGAACATTCTTGGCAAATGTCAAAAGTCTTTTAGACGTACAGAATGGTGTATATACAAAGAAAAATTTTTCTGAGTAAATTTTAAAAAAAAATATTTTTTTATCCGATAGAAAAGATGACGAAATTCATCTCAGTAAACAAGTACATGTCAGGACTTAAGAAGAACTAGACCCATTCACATATTTGAATGTTTACTTCTACCATTTTGAAAAGTCTTCATTCAGCAAAGTTTGGAACATCGAACCAGTTAAGTTTGCTATTGTGACTAAAATGGTGCGAAATTTGAAGACTTAGACATAGAAGGTTTGTTAACAGTCAACGAAAGTTTTGACAGAAGGTTCTCAAACCTTAAAGAAGGCAAAGCATACAAACTTGTTATACCTTATGAACCAAAGAAAGCAGACGACTATGAATATTATGAGTCTAAAGTTGTAGAAGTTCAAGGTAATTGTAAAAAGATTTAGAGTCTAAGCCAGTGTTTGCTCCTAAAGAGGAAGAGAACATTGACATTGACCCAGAAATGTTCTAAAAATAAAATTTTATTTTTACATGTCAAATTTCTTTTTCTCTGGCTCTGGTTCTTTCTTCTCTTCTTCTACTTTCTTTTCTTTCTTTTTCTTTCTTCTTCTTTTCTGGTGGAGTTATGTCAAACTTCTCAGAACCATATTTTTGTAAAAGTTCTTTGTCCTTTAATAGCTCTTCTATTCTGTTTTCTATTTCATCTTCAAGAACAGCGCATGTGTCTTCTTTGCATTCTAAGAAGTTTTGTTGGACTTCATCTCTCCAAGAGGCGTCATCTCTGTCAACAAGTCTGTCATTGACAAATTTTAAGACTGCTCTGCTTAATGTTTTATGGTTCTTGTCATATTCCCAGAAACAGAACTTTAGAACAAATTCACCTTTCTTGTTTACACTATGTAAGATTTTATGGTCGACAGATGTTTTGCTGTCGAAAAGCTTGTCTCGAATATAGATAGCGAAATCGCTAGACATTTTCTAAAAGATAAAAATTTTAATTTTTCTAAAAATATGTTAGAAAAAAAGTTTGCTGACATTGACAAGAAATTTGAGAATGTTTTAAATAAGAACAAGAGGAAGTTGGAAAATGCTCAGATAAAACCCATACATGACAAGTTCTTATTTGCTCAGAATGGTATAACAGGTCTAATTGCACCGCCTGGGTCGGGTAAGACTTTCACTTATCTTAAAATGGCTGCACAACAACAAGAACTAGATGAGAAGAACCCATTCTATGAGTTAGTTGTTATTTGTAGTACTTCTGGTCAATTTGACCAAACCGTCAATTCGTTCAAAGATATTATAAAGAAGTCTAAGTTAGTATGTATAAAAGACTCTGAGTTGTTAGATTGGATAAAGAAGTACCAAAGAAGAGTTTTGAAGTACAATGCTATAAATGAGTATGTCAATTCGAAGTTTAAAGACCCAAATGAGGAAATGCAGAGAATATTAGAGAAGAAACACTTCAGAAACAAACAGAAAGAGATAGAATACATTTCGAAGAAATTGCAATCTTACGATTGGAAGACATACCCTCATAGATGTCTTCTTATTTTAGATGACTTTGCTTCTCATCCTTTGTTAAAGAATAGAGAACAAGACATGTGTCGAATTCTTAAGAAGCTCAGACACTTTAACATCTCTGTTGTCATTTGTGTACAGACAGCAAAGAGTTTAAGTAAGGATGTAAAGAGAATACTTACTGACATTGTACTTTTCCCCGGATTGTCCGAAGACGATTTCATGGAACTTATGAAAGAGTCCATGGCAGGTAAGTTTGACAGACATGAACTATGGGAGAAGTACAAAGTCATACAAGACCCTCATACTTCTTTCAGAATTCATATCTACGCAAACAAAGTTCAAATTGTAAAAAGTCAAGCGTAAAAAATGTAAGTGTTTAGTCTTAGTCTGTTGTGGTTCTGCAGCTTTCGGTTCTTCTGGCTTTGGAATGGACTCGGTTGGTGGAACGTCAGTCATCCGTTTGTGTCTGTCGGAAGGAAAATATTTTCCTGTTGGAAGGAGAGTTCTTCCTGTCGGAAGGAAAATTTTTTCCTGTTGGAAGGAAAATTTTTTCCTGTCGGAAGGAAAATTTTTTCCTGTCGGAAGGAAAAACTTTTTCTGAAGTTCGACCAAAAAGTTCTCAATTTTCGAAAATTTGAATGGTTTACGGACGGACAACTGGAAAAATTTTTCCTGTTGGAAGGAAAATTTTTTCCTGTTGGAAGGAAAATTTTTTCCTGTTGGAAGGAAGAGTTCTTCCTGTCGGAAGGAAAATTTTTTCCTGTCGGAAGGAAGGACTCGGAATGCCAGAAGGATTTGACAAGACAATTTACCTTATAGAGCTACCTGAGCCATCTGAAGTCAAGCTTGAAAAATAAATGGTTCATCTACTCTACTTGTTTGAAGTTGTCAAAATACTCTGTTATTTTTTCCTTTAACAATGGCAAATCTTCTTTGAAGGTAAGTATTGTACAACCTTTAATATCATAGTGTGTTTGAGGTAAAGTATCTTGAACTATTTGTTTCACATCTTCATTTGGGGTCATTGAAATCGGTAAGTTTTCGCGATAGAACCAATTTCTGTCAGATTTGTAAATCTTAGCAAGGTCGTAAAAGCTTTTGTTGTTTCTTCTGACTAAATGCAACATAACCATATCTCTGTCTTCTTCATTTTCCATCTCTTCAGTATAAATCATATACTTATAGTTCTTTTCCTTTCCTTTTGGTACCGAACGTGGTATTCTTTTCTGAAGGCTTTTGTCTTTTGCTTCAATGACTTCATCTTTTGCATGAAGTTTCTTTTCCATCTCTTCACGTTCTTGTCTATGAATTTCGTCAAGAAGTCTGTAAATATACCAAGCGTAACGAGGTGAAGCCCACATTGCAACAGCATTTACAAGAAGTCTATGTACATACCAGCCTCTCAAACTATTTGGCAAATTTTTACGATTTTCGTACGGAATCTCGTTCCTCGGTTTTTCGAGGGTCGCAAACATATGAGGAAATTCTTCTAAAAGTTCTTTTGTCTGTTGGTTTTCAAACCAATGATATGCTTGCTTTGTAGAACGAAGAGCATTCAAAATACTTTGCACTTGGTACATATCGTCTTTGACCGAACGAATGAGACGTAACTGTTTGTTATATTGTATGTACTCATATTCTTCATTTATGTCTTCATGGACGATAGTAGTTGTTGTGTTCTCGGTTGTTGACATATCTGTCTTTACATACAAAATAAAAAAATATTTTATAAAAAACTAGCGTTATTTCCTGACTTTCACAAAAGACCAAAAATAAACGCTTTACATGTATTTTTCAGCAACTTCGTCAAATAATTTTATAGCTTTACCTATCTCATCTACTTCAAACGTTTCTTTACCTTTCGTGGGAGCACCATACATTTTCTCAAAAACTTCAAGCAGTTCTGTTTCAGCAGCTCTCATATCGTTAACGAACACAACCTTGACTCTATTGACTATACTGTCATATCTTTGAGTTATATTATATGTTCTTCCTATCTTATATCTCTTTGTGTTGAAGTCCTTCGGTTTCTGAACGATGTAAAGTAAGCCTTCACTGCAACGTTCCGTATCGAATGAACCATATGTTATGAAGTTATATCCAACAACTGGGTCTAACCATAACAAAACTATTGGTATAAGACGTTTGTCTATAAGATATGCTGCAGTTCCATAGAATCTTACCGATATCATAAGCTCAGGATTTCTTGTCAAAATTTTCTGAGTAGAAGCAATTCTAACCCAGTCCTTTGCTTTCTTTCCAGATGGAGATAAAATGTCTGACAAAGAATATTTGTTGTATTTCTTTGAGTATCTTACGTTTAAATCACCTATTCTAACCATTTTGGTGTCATTGTCTATCTTTCTAACTGTTTCAAACTCAGTGTTTGTCATTTTCTGTTTCTTACATACAAGATAAAAAATATTTTTTTAAAAAAACTAACTTTATTTTTTTTATCTTGTATAAAAGATATGATTTCAGGGATTTTTTTGACGAAGTGTCAAAGTTCTCTTCGTAAAAATATAACAGTTATATAATGAAATTTGGTCATTTTTTTACGATTTTCATGAGTTTTAGGCGACTGGGTTTTTTTTACTACTCGCAATTTTTCACGATTTTCATGAGTTTTAGGCGAGTAAGATTTTCTATCTTGTATAAAAGATATGATTTCAGGGATTTTTTTGACGAAGTGTCAAAGTTCTCTTCGTAAAAATATAACAGTTATATAATGAAATTTGGTCATTTTTTTACGATTTCAGGGATTTTTTTGACGAAGTGTCAAAGTTCTCTTCGTAAAAAATAACAGTTATATAATGAAATTTGGTCATTTTTTACGATTTTCGTACGGAATCTCTACCCTCGGTTTTCCTCGGGTAGCAAACATATGAGGAAATTCATGAAATTTGGTCATTTTTTTCAGCAAAAATATATTTTAGGGTAGATGGTTTTTAGGTGTCACCAGGTCACTCGGTCACTCGGTCAACTAACATCTTTTTGAAAATGGTGACAACATGACATTTTGACAACAACACAGGAAATAAACTTCATCGTATATGTTTTGTCATGATTTCATCGTATATGTTTTGTCAAGACTTCTTCATCGTATATGTTTTCTCACCTCTTTTTTTCATGAGGGTCACCAGGTCACTCGGTCACTCGGTCAACTAACATCTTTTTGAAAATGGTGACAACATGACATTTTGACAACAACACAGGAAATGAACTTCATCGTATATGTTTTGTCATGATTTCATCGTAATGAGCGTAAATCAGACAAAAATATATTTTATGTTAGCATGTTAGATCTAACACGTTTTCTAACCTCTTTTCTAACATGGTCTAAAACACACAAAACTCATGAAATTTCATACGGAATTCAATAAAAATATATTTTATGTTAGCATGTTAGATCTAACACGTTTTCTAACCTCTTTTCTAACATGGTCTAAAACACACAAAACTCATGAAATTTCATACGGAATTCAATAAAAATATATTTTATGTTAGCATGTTAGATCTAACACGTTTTCTAACCTCTTTTCTAACATAACTATTTACAAGCGTTTTACATGGTATATGTTGCGATGGTTCATGACTTTAAACAATTTTGTGGCTTCTATTTCTTCACGAAGGATATCGAATGTTTTCACAATGTCGAATGTTTCTTTATATTTCTTCTTGACATCAGATAGAAGGAAATCGTCAGCTGTTGGATAGTTTTTGTTTAGAAATGCTAACATGTCCATTTTGTTTTCTGCTGGTTTCTCTGCTTCTTTCTTTAAGTCTGCATAGTCGTTTCGCATACGTTCTATCTCTTTGACGGAGTAGTTATATTTCCTCATTGCTGCTTTACATTTAGAACATTGTGGGTTCATTTTAGCATTGTACATTGAAATAAAACCAGCTAGAACAACCAAGGCGTCAATGGTTTTCTTTAACTCAAAAGTTGCTGGTTTTATCTGTTCGTTCCATACTTTACCTCTTCTATCTTTATCTCTTATCTGCCATACACATTTTGCAACTAACGAAACAAAGTTGTCGTAGGTCTTAAATTCTTCAGATTTATATATGTCAGAGATGTTCTTATATACCATGTCGCAGTCTTTGTCCATGACTTTGTGGTTGCAATGAAATCCAAGAAACTCATAGTTAACCTTACGTATGAACTTCTTTATTTCTACCGAGTCAGTTGCTTTGACTTCTATTTCTTCAAATTCTGGAATAGTGAGCTTTTGTTGTTGTATTTCAGGAAGTTTAGGTAGATGGTCAATAATATCCTGCATTTCATAAAGATATTGTTCATTTGTTTCATCTTTCGCACTACAGTCTAAATCTCCTTGGAGAAGTTCTTGCTTTATCTTCTGGATTTCTGTTTCGAAAGTATATGAAGAAGGAATGAAGCTTTTCATCTCTACTAACATTGAAGTTGGGTTCATAACTAAAGAGTTTGGTAAAGTTGTTGCTAACATGTTCTTACAATAAAAATAAAAAATATTTTTTTAAAAATACTAACTCACTTTTTTTCTATCTTAAGGAAATTCATGAAAATTCAAGAGTTTTCTACGATGTTAGAAAAAATGTTAGAAAACGTGTTAGATCTAACATGCTAACATAAAATATATTTTTTGGTGGTACGTCGGACATTGTCTTGAAACAGTACAAATATTGTCTTGAAAAAGTACAAGTCTTGTTCTGAAAAAGTACAAGACTAGTTCTGAAACAGTACAAGTATTGTTCTGAAACAGTACAAGTATTGTTCTGAAACAGTACAAGTATTGTTCTGAAACAGTACAAGACTAGTTCTGAAACAGAACAATGGACAACATCGAGCCATTAGATGAGTTTTGTGTGTTTTCTACGATGTTAGAAAAAATGTTAGAAAACGTGTTAGATCTAACCTCTTCACCTAAAATATATTTTTGCCGAATTCAATAAAAATAAATGGTTCATTTACCACAATATTTTGGTACAAAACGACCCCAAACTTTTAACTTCTTTTCTGCAGCTTCTAATGCTATCTTAGCGAGTTCATATTCTCTAAATTCTCTCTTTAAATCTTCTTGTTCCCATTGGTCTAGTTCGTATGGAGAATCTCTATAACCATAACATAACTCACGTTCATGTTCAAATTGTTTTTCGCACATTTTTCTAACTTCTTGTTCGAACAATGGTTTAGCATTCTCTACTGTATCTTCAAGTTCTTCTTCATCTAATTTCTCATGAACTTTCTTGTCTATGGAGTCCATAATTTTTCCAACTGCTATGCAATATTTTGGAGAAGCCCACGTTGCTATATAGTTTATAAGTCTTGGGTCTACATACGTTCCTCTAACCTGTTTGATTTCATCAGAAATTCCTGCATGAATTTTGTATAAAAACCAACCGCCAGAATTCTTCCGGTTGCTATATTCTTCACAAAATGCCTTATAATACTCTTCCCAGGACTTATTTTCCAACAACTTTCTAAAGTCTTTCCTAAACTGCTGACACATATTTGTTACATTTATATAACCATCCTTGTCTCTACGTAAGACTTCAATACCGTTGTAAGTGCCTTTTGTGAATGTTTCGCCATTAGATTTGTTCGTGAACGTTTTTGCTTCGACTGACATTACTGTTCTTACAATAAAAATAAAAAATATTTTTTTAAAAAAACTAACTTTATTTTTTCTATCTTAAGGAAATTCATGAAAATTCAAGAGGGTGAAAAAACAGGTGAAAAAACAGGTGAAAAAACAGGTGAGATCTCACCACTTCACCTAAAATATATTTTTGGTTCATTTACACTCGTTACGATGAAGAAGTCTTGACATTTTCCCGACTGTTGTCAAAATGTCATGTTGTCTCATTTTTTAAAAGAAGTTAGTTTACCTGGTGACACATGGTTACCCGGTAACATGGTGACCCCTTCAGTAAACATCTCATTTTAACTCACTTTTTTTCTATCTTAAGGAATTTCATGAAAATTCAAGAGGGTGAAAAAAGAGGTGAGAAAAGAGGTGAGATCTAACCTCTTCACCTAAAATATATTTTTGCCGAATTCTGTATAAAATTCATGAGTTTTCTACGATGTTAGAAAAAATGTTAGAAAACGTGTTAGATCTAACATGCTAACATAAAATATATTTTTGGTTCATTTACACTCGTTACGATGAAGAAGTCTTGACATTTTCCCGACTGTTGTCAAAATGTCATGTTGTCTCATTTTTTAAAAGAAGTTGGTTTACCTGGTGACACATGGTTACCCGGTAACATGGTGACATGGTAGCACCTACAGTTCTTCAAAAATATATTTTTGCCGAATTCTGTATAAAACTCATGAGTTTTCTACGATGTTAGAAAAAATGTTAGAAAACGTGTTAGATCTAACATGCTACCCTAAAATATATTTTTTGGGCTATGTCCCACCGCTTTGCGTCTTTAGGTCAAAAATAAATTGTTTTCATGAGTTTTCTACGATGTTAGAAAAAATGTTAGAAATGAGGTTAGATCTAACATGCTAACATAAAATATATTTTTGGTTCATTTACACTCGTTACGATGAAGAAGTCTTGACATTTTCCCGACTGTTGTCAAAATGTCATGTTGTCTCATTTTTTAAAAGAAGTTAGTTTACCTGGTGACACATGGTTACCCGGTGACATGGTGACCCCTTCAGTAAACATCTCATTTTAACTCACTTTTTTTCTATCTTAAGGAATTTCATGAAAATTCAAGAGGGTGAAAAAAAGAGGTTAGATCTAACATGCTAACATAAACTCACTTTTTCAGCACTTTTCCGTAGTTGTATATGAAAGACAATTCGAGATAAAAGTCATAGTACAATGGTATTATATGTTGCACACCATTTGTTGTGAACCAAACTTGAAAGTCAGAGAAACTGTTACTAGGTGGTTCGTAGAATTTAGAAGCAAAGTCATAAAAGTCCTTACCGATACATAGAAAACTATTGTTGCTTGAACTGAAACTTGCATGGCACATAACATTTTGAGGGTCAAACACGTTTCTATAAACTGTCAAATCTGCTGGTGGAAGTATAAATTTAAATGGACCATCTGGTGGTAATGGTTCGTTCTGGTTTAGTAACCGAAGAAATTGTGCCCAAGAACGTTTGTCTACTTTCCAAAATAAAAACTCTGTATCTCTTGGAGGGTTAATTTCAATCTTTTGAAATGAAACGGTGGAGTTCATCTTGTCATATTCTAGTTTCAGATAGTATGTTCCATTTAGTAAAGAGTCGTATTTTTCTTGAAATTCCCAATAATATTTGTTCATTTGAGTTTGAAAGTCATTTAGAGTTTTCTCAAGACTTTCGTCTGAACGAACTGTAAAGATTCTCATTTCATCAAATTTGTCTATAAGACCATCAGAACCTTTATACTGCCCATGAAAATATACTGCGAACATAAACGCGTTAGTTCTATTTGAAAACAAAACTCTTCTAAATCCTATTGCCTTTGCATCTGAAGGACTTTGAAGCCAACGAACTGGATAGTCAAACCTGTATGCTCGGGATGAAATTTCTTCATCTGAAATAGTCCTACCAGCATTTGTAAAGATATAGTCTAACGGTTTTGTATCTGCTACTTTTGTTCTTTGTTTTTCAACCTGAAGCATTTAATATATGTAAAAATATATGGTTTAAAAATGGTATGCCATTTCATATTTCTCATCTAACAAACATGTTGTCTGACTGCTTGAGGGTTAGGTTGGTACCATTCGAACTTGACACTTGCAATTCCTTCAATTGCATTCAAAATGTCTGAGTCGGAGTCAACCATTTGTTCTCTCTTTGTAGTCTTGAAAGCGTCAAGAAGCATTGCAGCTGTTGTGACATTGCCATATGCATAGTAAATGTGACCATCCAAATCTGTTATGGTCAATCTGAGATTGTGTCCTTTCTTATTTCCGTCTTGTATGGCAGCAAGTACACCCATGAAGCCTTCTTTGTTCTTTCCTTCGTCAAAGTTTACTGTAAAGGTTCGACCAGAGTAATTTGACTTCTAACTTCACGGTACTTCTCATATGCATATCTTGTTCTTTCCATGGGAGCATGACCATCCTTGCACTACCTTTTTTCCTTCTCAAAGGATGCAATTGTTCGTCATGTTTCCAGTAGAATCTGGCAAAGCCGTCGTGTCCTTCAACTTGAGGTTCACTAACATCGAAAGGCATGTCCATAAGACGTTCTTCTTCTAACCTCTCTAGTCTGTTTGGATAATTGGCACGTGCTGTTTCCAAATCCATTTCGTAGCGAAGACCAGACAATTTGTCATAGACTTTTATGGGTCTTCCCTTCCTATATTTAAAATTCTTCGAAACTCTCCAACCATATCTTTGTAACTCTGCTTTTATTCTAGCAGACTTTCTATCCATTCTATATGGGGGCATTTTTATAAAAATAAAAAAATATTTTTTTCTTTACTTTACATAACCGCCTGCTGCCATAAGTCTTTGACGCCAACCCATACCAGCTAATGAAGGTTGACTTGGTTTAGTTTGGAAACTAAACTTTGGTTTTGGTTTATCTTCAGTTTTTGGTTTTTCTTCTTCTATCGGTTTTTCGTCACTTTTCGGTTCCTCTGACTTTACTTCACTTGCAGGAACAGTTGTGTCGTCAACATCTTCATAAATATCATATGCCATTTGTTTTTGTTTTCCTTTCAACTTTTTGTGTTTGTTGTAAAGTTTAGAATATTTCGACTCTAAGTCAATGAGATGTTCTATAATGAACTGTTGGTCAGTGAAGTAAACTTTTCCATCTGTTGTCTCGAAAGCTCCTTCAGACTTCAATATTTTATTTGTGAGAGTCTGTTTCTTTTTTGAGATACTTGCCGTTCCATTTTTATGAAAAGTGACTTTGTAGTTAGAGTTTGTATTTCCAGACCTGGCACTTTCTATTATTGAATTTTTCTCTTCATCTGTAAGTTCTTTGACAGGTTTTGACAATGGTTCTGAACTTTTTGTTTGTGGTGTCAAATCTACCGTTTCAACTTCTTCGGTCATTTCATCTCAGTAAAAAATTTTAGTTTGGTTTGTTTTCAACTGGTTGTTGAGGTTTTTTAAGTCGGTCTAAAACTTCCTGAGGTATAGGAAGAACTTGACAAACACGTTGTGTAACTGCTGGAAGCCGACAAATCCATCTTGAACCCATTTGTCTCAATGCTGTATTGTTCATTTCATCTCAGTAAAAAATTTTACATTCCCCAAGTTTGAGGTGGTTGCGGTTGGTTATTGTTTACCCACTGTTGTGCATGGTTATATCCTCTGTTAAAGAATCTTTCACCTTGGTCCATATAGTGTCCTGCTTGGTTATAGTAGTCATTTGCTTTGTTATAATAGTTTCCTGCTTGTCTTCCTACATTGTCCATCCATCCTTGAACTTTTCCTCTTGTTTCAGGATTTGGAATAAGATTTGTTGCATCTCGTGCTACATCCCAACCTTTCTGTACAGTTTGTATAATAGGTT